AATGCGAAGTCCTGTGCAGTCCACGTCCCCTGCCTCAGGTGGACCAGCCGCTCGCCCGCCTCTCGACCCTCGGGCAGGTGATCGAAGACCGCCCGGAAGAGGTGAGCAAACTCCCTGTAGTTCTCCTACGCGGCTCCTCCTTCGTTCCACACCGCGTTGGCCCACTCCAGGGCTTTCCCCAAGAGGCAGGAGATGAGGGCGGACACCTTCTCTCGCTCCGATGGAACCGGCCGGATGCTGGAGAAGTAGAGCTCCAGTTGGAGAAGAAATCCTTGGCACAGCGCCGCTGTCCTGTCGAACTCCCCTGGTCGGGATATCTGGATTCCTCCGGGTGCTGGGGTGTAGGTGGCAGAATCCGGTTGACCAGCTGGTCTCGACGGATCGGGCTCTCTCCTCTCCAGGCGTTGGATGACCCGAAGAAGCCGACCCATTGCTTCACCCAAGCTGGCTAGCATAGTTGAATGCTCCTGGACCCGTTCCACGACTCCAGGCATGTGCGTCTCTCCCGCTGACTCCATAATCAAGTTGGGTGATTCTGTGATGAGGTGGTGTTGAAGAAGTCAGGTGCAGGAGGGTAAATCACAGAATAACAGGCTTTAATCCGCAAAATACAGGTTTACACAGAAATGCATCAAACACACTCCAGGGCACAAAACAGGCGCACTGGAAAATACAAGGCACACGGGAAAATACTCCCGTTGATACACAATACACGAGCTCCACCGAGCTTCACAAACCTCCACAATAAACAATCACCCACACAGACAAGGAAACAGAGGGAACACTTATACCATGACTAATGAGGGAATAAGGACCAGGTGTGTGTGATTGAAGACAAGACAAATGGAGTGATGATAAATGGATCGGCAGTAGCTAGTAAGCCGGTGACGCCAAATGCCGAATCCTGCCCGAACAAGGAGGGGAGGCAGCCTCGGCGGAAGTCATGACAGATATCAAGTTATGTGGTCCTCCGACTACGACTAGTCGGGAAAGCATGCAGTTTATTACGCTACAGATTAAATAAATTAATAATTAACTTCACAGGGTGGTGAAAGTGCAAGGTGATGAGCTCAATTGATGCTCCGTTCCAATAAATATTGAGGGTCTTATTCTGGTGACATGATCATAGATACTTTCATCATGTAGGCTGGCCTACCCACACTCTATCTGCGAGCTATTGGCTAGAACACAAGTGTCAATACCAGAGTGGGCACATATATAACGCAGTATTTTTTGCGAGAAAAACATCAGTAGAGTTGAAAATGTGATGGAAACCCATTTAACCGCAAAAATATTTTTATGTGCACTACATCATCACGCACAGCTTTTTATCTGCAACAAGTCAATTTGATGGGAACACATCTCTGGTGGGAAAAGGCACATATTCTTTATGTGGATTGTATAATATTTGCATGAAAATCTGTCGCCAATTGGATGGAAACCAAGCGACTGATGTTGTTTTCCAACAGCAAGGCTCAGTGCAACATGGCAGTGTTGCCATTGTTTGTAAAAGTTATTCTATATAATGTTGAAATAAACATGTCTCCAACCTAATAAATCCTAATAATAAAAAAATAAAAAAATACATAACAAATCAAACACTCACAAACTGAAAATATAGTTGTACATTGTACACTCAATTGGTGAGAGAGGGAGAGAGAACGAGAGACTCAAATATCACATTAATTTGTACATATCCACTGTACAGTCGTGGTCAAAAGTTTTGAAAATGACACAAGTATTGGTCTTCACAAAGTTCGCTGCTTCAGTGTTATGAGATATTTTTGTCAGATGTTACTATGGTATACTGAAGTATAATTACAAGCATTCCATAAGTGTCAAAAGCTTTTATTGACAATTACATTAAGTTTATGCAAAGAGTCAATATTTGCAGTGTTGACCCTTCTTTTTCAAGACCTCTGCAATCCGCCCTGGCATATTGTCAATTAACTTCTGGGCCACATCCTGACTGATGGCAGCCCATTCTTGCATAATCAATGCTTGGAGTTTGTCAGAATTAGTGGGTTTTTGTTTGTCCACCCGCCTGTTGAGGATTGACCACAAGTTCTCAATGGGATTAAGGTCTGGGGAGTTTCCTGGCCATGGACCCAAAATTTCGATGTTTTGTTCCCCGAGCCACTTAGTTATCACTTTTGCCTTATGGCAAGGTGCTCCATCATGCTGGAAAAGGCATTGGTCGTCACCAAACTGTTCTTGGATGGTTGGGAGAAGTTGCTCTCGGAGGATGTGTTGGTACCATTCTTTATTCATGGCTGTGTTCTTAGGCAAAATTGTGAGTGAGCCCACTCCCTTGGCTGAGAAGCAACCCCACACATGAATGGTCTCAGGATGCTTTATTGTTGGCATGACACAGGACTGATGGTAGCGCTCACCTTGTCTTCTCCGGACAAGGTGTTTTCCGGATGCCCCAAAAAATCAGAAAGGGTATTCATCAGAGAAAATGACTTTACCCCAGTCCTCAGCAGTCCAATCCCTGTACCTTTTGCAGAATATCAGTCTGTCCCTGATGTTTTTCCTGGAGAGAAGTGGCTTCTTTGCTGCCCTTCTTGACACCAGGCCATCCTCCAAAAGTCTTCACCTCACTGTGCGTGCAGATGCACTCACACCTGCCTGCTGCCATTCCTGAGCAAGCTCTGCACTTGTGGTGCCCCGATCCCGCAGCTGAATCATCTTTAGGAGACGGTCCTGGCACTTTCTGGACTTTCTTGGGCGCCCTGACGCCTTCTTCACATCAATTGAACCTCTCTCCTTGAAGTTCTTCATGATCCGAAAAATGGTTGATTTAGGTGCAATCTTACTAGCAGCAATATCCTTGCCTGTTAAGCCCTTTTTGTGCAAAGCAATGATGACGGCACGTGTTTCCTTGCAGGTAGCCATGGTTAACAGAGGAAGAACAATGATTTCAAGCACCACCCTCCTTTTAAAGCTTCTAGTCTGTTATTCTAACTCAATCAGCATGACAGAGTGATCTCCAGCTTTGTCCTCGTCAACACTCTTACCTGTGTTAACAAGAGAATCACTGACATGGTGGCAGCTGGTCCTTTTGTGGCAGGGCTGAAATGCAGTGGAAATGTTTTTTGGGGATTAAGTTCATTTTCATGGCAGAGAGGGACTTTGCAATCAATTGCAATTCATCTGATCACTCTTCATGACATTCTGGAGTATATGCAAATTGCCATCATCAAAACTGAGGCAGCAGACTTTGTGAAAATTAGTATTTGTGTCATTCTCAAAACTTTTGACCACGACTGTATACATGAATTGCAGCAATGTTGGCTCCTGTTTCAGTCATGTCTTTGGTCACGTTCGCGTGGGTCAAACAAAAACACCCTAATGATTGGTTGACAATAGAGCCTCCCACAATGCAGGCGATGGCTGCAGGATGAAGTTGGTGAAGAGCAACTGCAGAAACTTGCAGTCGAATGCAGTTAAAACTTAATGACCTTTGATCACATGATTTTTGTAAAGTTCATGCAGTCGACATGTAGGTGCAAGTCGGACAATTTTTATCCCCATAATGCAACACACTTTTAAAGGCAGTGACTAACCTGATCCGAACATGCCCATTGAGGTTGATGCCCAGCTAGCACATCTGGTTCCTTGGAAGTTGTGGGAATGTATGTTTTTGGTTACCCATTGGTTCTGGGAACAAAGACATACGTTTCTTGACCGGTAAAACTGGACGTTTTTTTAACGTTCAGAGAACGTAAGTGAACATTATGCCTGTTCTGGGAACATACATTTATAGGTTGCAGGGAGGTTCTGAGAACGTTTTACTATGGTTCCCTGAAAGTATTCCTGGGAGGTTTTATTAATGTTCTGAGAATGGACATTATAGGTTATTTTGAGGTTTTTTAATAACTTCCTTAAAACTTTCACTGAATGTTTCAATAAGACTTTTAATAACACTGCTAGCTTAGGTTAACTCTTTTGAACTCCAAGCACAGATAGGACACATGGAAATTAATTTGCTTAGGCATTGATCATGTAAACACACTTTTTTATTGTGTCAATGAGATTCAAAGCTATGATCTTCTGTTCTCTATCCACCAGGATGCCATGTTTTTTTTAACTCATACAAAGCTGTTCATTTTAGTTTATTCAAACAGACCCCATTTCAAAGGAAACAAGCACTCATTAAGATCAGGTGTGGCCAATTATTGGGCGCGGCCAACACACCTGAACACACTTAACAAGATAAAGGATAGAGAGAGTTTTGTTGACGCTGAGAATGGAACGTATATGTTCTTCAATAACATTCTTAGAACGTTTTTTTAACATGTTTTCTTGTGGTTTTTATGGAAAATATTCTTAATGTTCTGAGAAAATAGAACCATGCGTAAACCTGCATAAAACGTTATGCTGAAGTACTGAAATTCCCACAGGAGAACATTTTTTCTTAACATTCTCTGAACAACTTGAGGACATTCCCAATGTCAATCCAGTTGGAGAATGTTCCTAGAACATTACCAGAAAATGTAATTAAATGTAACCATGTTTGAACTTTTAGGAAACGTTCTGTTAAAGTTTTGAAATACCAAAAAAAGTATGTTAAATGTACTGAGAATGTTCCAAAGCCAACCAACTATCCTGCACAATTCCCAGAACAATCACGCTCTCACCAAGCTCTAAGAAACATATAGTGCTCAGAACGTTATGTGCTAGCTGGGTGGGAATGCAGAGAGGGACAAAGTGCATACTTTGCAGAGATAATATCAATTAGGTTAGTGGAGGAAACAGAGCAAAAACAGCAAATAAACCCATCTGTTCTATGGTGAAGGTTTCATGATGTCTCCACATCCATTATCTCACTGTTATTTTTCCCCATTTGGTTGCTTTTGTCAGTTGGTCGCTGTCGCCAGACGTGTGACGCAAACCGTTTCTGCCAGACATGGAGAAAGCTCTAAGCTGCCACAGTAAGTGTCCAAATTGGTTTATTCAACCTCAATGAGTTGTTCTCAAAATGTTTAAGTCATTTACAAGGTGGTTGCAGAAAGCGGTACAGTGTGGCCCTCTTCACTGGTGACCGCGGTGAAGGTGGGGTCCAGGCTCAGGGCATCAACCACAGATATAACAGTATGAGTGGGTATATCTCTCACTAGCCTCTAAAACGGCTGTGTTCCTGAACCTGTCCTTAACGCAGGAGAAGAGTGCCCCGATCTGCAGCCACACCTCCCTCTGCCAGCAGGCATACACCAGAGGGTTGATGAGGGAGTTGGACAGCCCCAGCAGCCACAGGTCGTTCTCCAGCACCTTGTACAACGCACAGCCCTCACACAGCACCTGCACCACACACACCACAAAGAACGGGCACCAGAAGAGGGTGAAACAGCCCACCAGCAGAGCCACGGTCCTCAGGGCCCAGCCTGGAGCTGGCCTGACAGATCTGCATCTGGTGGCCACAGGCAATCTTCAGGATGTCCAGGTAGAAGTAGGTGAAGACAGAGAGGACGGGGAAGAAGCCGGCACAGAACACCACAATGATGCCCCTAGGACGGATGACAGAGAAGAAGGTGCAGAGGCTGCTGCTGTCGAAGTTTCCCTGCTGTAGCTGCCGTGCCATGCCTGTGGAGCAGAGGAGAATAATAAACATACTATATACTACTATATTTATAGTATTTAGATTATTAATATAAAAATATATTATGTTCATTATCCAGTTGATCAAGAATCAATGTTGGGGTCAATTCAATCCCAATTTAGTCAATTCAGGAAGCTAATTAAAATTCACAAATTGAGTCTGTTCATCCCCTGAATTTAAATGAAACCCTGTTGTTAGGGACATGTGTGTCCTCTGAAAGAAGATAATTTACATTCTTGTTCCACCTGGTAGGAAGCCAACGGTGAAGGATACCATCCACAGCGCTACTAGGGCCCCAGTCAAGGTCCACCTCCCAGTGAACTGGGAGTAGCGCAGCGGCAGCTTGATGGCCACGTAGCGGTTGAGAGAAATCAGGAACATGGACAAGATGGAGGCTGTTGAGGGGGAGATTACGAAGACCATGCGGAGTAGACATTTGGTCTTCTGTGTGGAGTGTGTCAGGAGTTGTGGAGAAGTTGGTATAGTTCCATTGCTCATGGTATTGTGATTTTTAAACACGTCTGCAACGATGCCAGTGATGGCATCGTTGCAGGCACACCAGGCACACCAGGCATCATGGCCGTGAGGTTGCCACCCGACTCTCCCATCCAGCCTGTCTTATTTTAAGCTGCCATTGAGTCATTTAGAAGCTCTAAATTCTGTATATCTGTGAGATTCCCCCCTCAAAACAAATAAACTATATCCACCAACATCCACTCCTGCTGTGGTATATTGGTATTTGAATCCAAAGACCCTTTTTGCTCTTTGTATTGACTTCTGTAAATGTTTCTTGTTAATATCTTTCTCTGCCAAACTCCTTGTAAAACATAAATAAATTCTACAATGATAAACGGTGCTGTTAATTAAAAAGCTCTTTAGGAAGAAAAATGGAACATTCAGAGGGTACTCAGCCACTCCCGATGTGCCTTTGCTCCTGAGAGGGCAAAGTATCTCCCCTCCTCTCTCGTCTGCAGCTGTGGTTCCTCTGTATCCGACCCTTGTCCAGCCTGCTATCTGGCTGTCATCCCAGTCCCCTCTGAGAGTCCCTGGTGCAGACATTCGGGATGATGGGGACATTTTCCACAAGGGTTTACCACCACTGGGGTAATGACAGTAGTATGCAGTATAAACATAATCTGACAATCAGTATCTTCATCATAAAGTCATTAGTGTTTTTTTTAGCCTGTTCATTGATGTCAATAAGTAGGACAGTAAGGTAAGAGAGGAAGAGTTTTCTGTGGCATGTCTCTTGGGAAGACCCATCCGCTTTGGGAAGACCCATCTGTGGGCATATATGTGAGTCCTTTAGAAAACACACAGAATAACAAAATCCAGATCGTGACACGGAAGGAAAAACAACCATCTACTCCCACTTACTATAATCAATAAAGAGTATCTGCTCTCTTGGCTCATCTAGTGTCTAAGGTGAGTCCTAGCAAAAATAAGATAATAGAAGGAATGTTCATTTTGAGAAGCCCCTTCATCTTGGCACACAATACTGCACGATCACAGTGCTGTACAAAATGTGCTGCGACTAACCACTGTACCTATGGCTCCTTATGGCAAAGGGTTTTCTGTATGTATTTACACAGCTCTAAACAAACTGAGAGACAAAATACATGATAGGGAGAGAATGAGAGATAGGGAGAGAGAGTTTATATTTGCCAGACAGGATGACATGAATCTCACTCCATGTATCTGTTATCAGTCAACTACTTCCGTTTTACATATGGGAAACATTTCATTGGGAGACATAAATTACTACCCTGCACAAATTACTACCCAACTTCCTCATAAGAGTATGCATTTACATGTCTCTTCTCCCTCTCTCTCTTTCTGTAACTACTTCTCAACTCTCTCCTCTCTCACACCCTCAGCAACAACAACCCAACCAGGTCAGTCTAAACAGTATCACCAGGTTCACATCAAATACACAGTGATATTTTTATGTAGAGCAAAAATCCTCTTTTTATCACAGAGGGGAAAAACTCTGGCTCCCACATACAATGTGGGAATGTTATTCATCCCTACTAGACCTTTCAGTGCCATTCAAAACTTCTGTTGGTCAGCAGTAATTGTGCCCACTACCCCTGTACCAGTAGGCATTCTCACCCTGTTTATGCCTAGCACTGCCCACTCCTCACCTACGGGTTCTCAACCCCACCATGCCCTGGCTAGAAACTTCTTGAAGGTGTTGTTATTCTTTGAATAGACTACCTCCTGTCTTGGGCTTGACCTCTGAAGCTGACCTCTGAAGCTGACAGTCCTTTGGACTGTGTACTAAAGATGTCTTTAAAGAGACGGCTGCTGTCCATGTTGTTGTGCTGTGTCTACTGCGTGGCTTCGCTCTTCTGCTTGAACCCCAGCCACAACAACTGTGTCTCCATCAGCGCCCGGTGAGTCTGTGTCAGTATGTGTGTGTATAGGTGTGAGTGAGTGTGTATTTCAGTGTTTGTATTTGTGTGATGGGCAGAAATGTCTTTGTCATGAATCATGGTGTGTGTTAATGTCTTATCTGTTTATCTGAGGGTAATTTGCAACAATCTGAGTAGTGGCATGTCCTCTGTTTTATATGTGTGTGTTGGCATTTGTTTACTTGCTTGATTGAGAATGAAATACACAGTATAACAATACAGGATGTAAAAAGAAGATGGCAATTGAGTTAAATTTTTTTTGTCTTAATATACTCACAGTAAGTGTAATATTAGGGTAATAAATTAATTATTCATAAAGTAATTAACAAAGTAATAATGAAGTAATCTTTGCTCAATATAAATATATATTTTTTAATACAGTATGTTAAACAGAACCTTGCCTTGAACAGTTTGCTGTGTTTGGCACCACTCACTGATCATGTCTTTTGTGCTCTTTCGACAAACCATTTTAGGAATCTCATGACAGTTGTCCAGCAGCTGTACCAGCGAGTCATGAGGCTTATGCGCACCACTTTGTGATCTTGTGGAGCCTGTTAAAACTCATCGTCCCCAGGACTGAGACACTCTACTGCCCTACCCTGTCCATCCAATGGAGATGACCTGCAGAGCACCTGCCATAGACAAAGCAAGAGGACAAATAGTGCTCTCACAGTCATGGATTGTTTTTTTGGAACACCTAAACATTCTTAGAGATCCCTCTTACCATTGCAGTTCACTGTAATAAGGCGGAAGATAGCTTAAAAAACTATATATTTTTTATTGATTCAGATAGATTTAGTTGAGATCATACTGGGCTTGTTGTGGGAGATGTGAATGAGGTGGTGGACGCAAACAGGGCTGGCCCTAGCCTTTTTGTGGGCCCTAAGCGAGATTTGGTAGGGCCCCCCCCCCACCTCGTGGGCAAAACATTTTAGTGGTCCCCCACTTGACAGCAGAGAGACAAAAGTATGTTTTAAAGTTAATTTACTGCAATTCTACGCATTTTGCATGGGCCGGAGAGAACATTTTGCAATTTTATAACTAATTTCATGCAATTCTACTTATTTTGCCATGGGGCGGAGATAAACATTTGCAGTTTTACAGCTAATTTCCTGCAATTCCACACATTTTGTTATGACTTATGTCATGTTAATATAATATGATATCTGAGTGAGAGTGACTAACAAAATCAATGGGGGCCCACTGGAGTTCAGGGCCCCTGGGCACGTGCCCTGCGTTTAGATTGCTAGCTAGTCTAACTTACCAATCAAAGAAATTGCTGACATGGGCTAATTGAGTGACTGTCAGTGACTGACATGACAAGAGAAAAACTGCTGATGCACAACCAAATATTCTACTATTTTAACTCTCTACAGTAAGTTGAGACCCTGTCTGAGTTTCTTTGTGTGGTTGGGGGCCCCCTAGTGGCCGCTTATGTCTCTTAGTGGCTAGGGCCGGCCCTGGACACAAACAACCTTGTAGGCCTACTGTGTTTCAGGTTTCACCTGTGATTCTGGGGCTCAGGCTGGCCCCGTTTATATGCTTGACGGATCTTTCCATTATAGAACTTGAATTTTAGCACCATTGTTAGCACAGGAGGCAGCACATTTGTAATACATGGATCGGACACGATGAGCTGGCCATTGATGCTGTGGATTTTATTTAGGCAGCTTTCCGTAGCCATAACGATGTAGGGTGTGGTTGCTCTTGCCTTGAGGGAAGACGCCACAGGACTGACTGATTTAAGTAGCTGGTGAATTTTTTTGTGCTCTCAGAATGCTGTAAACAGAGAGCATTCTTACTTTTGCAGAGTATGAATGAGTATGAACATAGTTTTGCTGAGTATTAAGTAGTATGAGCAAGCTTTTGCATAGTATCAATGCTGAAGAAATGCAGTGCATGATAGAAGCATTTGCTTAAGTGCATGAGCTTTGTGGCAGAAATGTCCTGCATTGTAATGCGAGTGCTGGAAAAGCCAATTGCAGGATAATTCAAAGACGTCATTCATTTCATGCCCTCTTGTGGAAAACTGAGCAGTTATTTCTACATGATGGTCAATAAATGAATGCTTTCAATGAGCTTCAATGCTACCACAGCACATGGAAAATATTTCCTGCTGGAATTGATGTGATTGCGTTTTGTTAAATCTGCTCCATGAATGCATATAGTGCAGTATGTGCTGTCTTCATAAAATAATACTGGGCTTTTTCCTTGCGCAAATTATGGGAAGATAGGCAGTGTTGGGGAGTATTGAACTACATGTAGTTCAACTTTGCAGTAGCTTGGTGGTATTTTAACTAAATTAAAATATTGGTAGTGTTTTCAGTAGTTAATTACTTTTTTTTGCCATGTAGCTAATTACTGGAACTACACACAACTTATTTTTCAAAAATAAAATAAGAAAGGGTGAAGTAGGAAATGAATTTCCTTTTTAGTAGTACCTTTAGTTAAGTAAACTATATTTTCAGAGTATCTTCCCCAACACTGAAGATACTATGTTCAATACATTTGTACCACTTGATTATCTAAATGTTATAACAGTTGAGTCTTTTGTCATTCATGCTGTAGGCCTTTCAATACTGATATAATAAACTTTACATTTGTTTTCATAAATGTTTGCCAGTTTATTTTTATAGGCCTATAACTTTCACTCACAACATAAGTATGGTGTAATAGAAAGCCATATGACTTAATATATCTACTACATGATAAATGTATATGTAGGCCTGGGAAATTGTAACAAAGGCAAATCCTGTGCGAGCGTATGTGCTGAGTTCGTTATGATGTTACAGGTGTCAAACTTATGGGCATGTGGCAGCAGTATGTAGGAGGGAGATTCCAAGGTGTGAGAAGTGTGCAGAAGAGCATGAGACTAAGGAGTGTGAAGCAGTGGGGAAAGTAGTGGTGTGTGCTAATTGTAGGGGTGGCCATGGGGCTGGGGATCAGACATGTCCAGTGCGAGAGAAGCAAATTGAGGTTTCCAGGGTAAGGTAGAGAAGAAGTTGTCATATGCGGAGGCAGTGAAGAAAGTAGAGGAAGAGGGGTCAAGGGGGGGGAGTGGTGAGAGTAGGATATATATACCAGTACAGTGGGATAGGCAAGCAAGTGATATATGTTTCAGCAAGATTGGGGTTTTAGCGTTTATAGCAATGGTTATTAATTGTACTGCAGGGATGGAACGCAAATCGAAGAAAATTGAGGTTGTGGTGGCAGCTGCAGAGAGATATTTGGGTGTGCGAGACCTGACAGCAGAAGAGTTACAGGGAGTGTTAAGAGGTGATGTCCCATCATTTCAGGTTGAGGGCATGAGGTAGGAGTGAGTATATTTAAATAGTGGAGAAGGGTGGGGTTAATTATTATTATTAGTTTTGAAGTTGTGAGTGTAGTGTTAGATGGTAGGATATTTCTTTGCTTTGTTTTATTTTTCAAGAAAAGATAAGGGAGTTGTACTCCAGTATAGTAGGTGGCGGTAATGCAACAAATTGGATGCCAACCGCCGTTAAACCTCATTGAAGAAGAAGAAGAAGAAGAAGTAACAAAGGCAAACTACAGAAAAAGGGTGTTGCATCATTGTCGGCCAACTTCGGGAAACTTCCGGTGTCCTCAGTTCCTGTTTCGGCACAAATCCACTAGAAATGTAAAGCTACGTAGCCGGATAACTTTTGTTGTTTTATTTATTGAGTTAACCCACTTGACGTCGAAGACATGGAATCCAAAATAAAATAGCAGTGCACAACTTTTGTTCACATTACTGGTAGGTGTCATTATGTGCTGTTGCAGTTTGTGGCGGTTTTCCTAACTTATTTCTAGAACTGATAGCTAACTAGCCTTAGCTAACAAGCTACAGTAACTAGCCAACTGTTAGCTAGTTAGCCTTAGCTAACAAGCTACAGTAACTAGCCAGCTGTTTGTCGCTAATATGCGGACCTGGCGGCCAACGCGGGTTCTGCTGAATGCACGATTATTCCTTTGATTTGACTGACATTTCAAATAGGATTGGGACTCACCTCTGTATTTTAAAAGTTTGAACTGGTGTTAGTGTAGTATCAGATAGCATTACATTGTGTCATCTTTGGGTGAAAATACGACATTGCTGTCACTCGCGTTATCCTACACACAGTGATACGGGCAGGGAATGAAGCAACCAAAGCCAATTGGAATCCTTTAAATGTTGATTGACTTAAATTGCAGCCAATAGAAATTCTCAATATTTGTGATGGCTATTTCATGAATCTTTGACAGAGGCGTTACTTTCCGGCGCAATATTCTGTGATGCTGATTGTATGAGCTCTCGGGGAGTAATCAAATCAGGTAGCACAATGTTACACAATGTACGATTGCAACAATTTGTTTATTTGTATTTCGGCGGCCTGCTATTGTTTTTAGCGGGGCTCCATCACGTAGAAGCGGCCACCACCGAAATGGCCAACCTGAACTGGAAACCGTTCATCTACGGAGGGATGGCCTCTATTGTCGCAGAATTCGGTACGTGATGCACCAAACCTTTTTCAGACTAATTTATTTTAATCATGCATTCATTATTATTTTAGTGACACACACATTTTAAGACGTATGTTTAGATCATCACATTGAGAAACACTGCGAGATTTGCAGCAGTCTCTCTTCTTGAGTGATGGCGATGGCTCTAAATGATGGATGTTGCATCAAATGATTAATGATGCTACTCCATTTGAGTAGATCTACAGTGATGCAGCTGTGTGCAACCCCAAGCAATTATAGATTTACTTAGATAAACCAACTTAAATGATACTGCTTCTTCTTAGAAAAAAAGCTAAACAATGCAACACACATATTTGCTGAAAGCAATCATATTGGTTTGCATTGCAATCAATGTATTGTTACTCCACCTCATTGCATTGAGATAATATACCCTGTCGTAGTAAACCCTGTGAAAGTAATCACCTCTTCCGCTTTACTTCAGTATCATGTCCCCAAATCTTTTGAATGGGATTGATGATTATATCATAACATTAATTTAAGATCTATATATATATTACTGTACGCTGTGTGTACAAAACATTAGGAATACCTTCCTAAAATTGAGTTGCACCCTTTTCCCCTCAGAACAGTCTCATTTCTTCGGGGCATGGACTCTACAAGTTGTCGAAAGCGTTCCACAGGGATGCTGGCCCATGTTGACTCCAATCCTTCCCACAGTTGTGTCAAGTTGGCTGGATGTGCTTTGGGTGGTGGACCATTCTTGATACACACAGGAAACTGTTGAGCTTAAAAAACCCAGCAGCATTCTTGACACACTCAAATTGTTGGACACAATGGATTTAGTTTTTGGCAGGCGTTTAAAGACAGAATGGTATGTTTTTTAGTAGGTGCGCCTGGCACTTGCCCATTCATCCTCTGAATGGCATACATACACAATCCATGTCTCAAGGCTTAAAAATCCTTCTTTAACCTGTCTCCTCTTCATCTACACTGATTGTAGTGAATTTAACAGGTGATAGCAATAAGGGATCATAGCAGTTACCTGGTCAGTCTGTCATGGAAAGATCAGGTGTTCCTAATGTTTTGTACAGTCTGTGTGTCTGTGTGTATGTGTATACATACACTACTGTTCAAAAGTTTGGGGTCACTTAGAAATGTCCTTGTTTTCCATGAAAACATACATGAAATGAGTTTGAATAGGAAATGTAGTCATTGACAAGGTTAGAAATAATGATTTTTAATTGAAATAATAATTGTGTCCTTCAAACTTTGCTTTCTTCAAAGAATCCTCCATTTGCAGCAATTACAGCCTTGCAGACCTTTGGCATTCTAGTTGTCAATTTGTTGAGGTAATCTGAAGAGATTTCACCCTGTGCTTCCTGAAGCACCTCCCACAAGTTGGATTGGCTTGATGGGCACTTCTTACGCACCATATGGTCAAGCTGCTCCCACAACAGCTCAATAGGGTTGAGATCTGGTGACTGTGCTGGCCACTCCATTATAGACAGAATACCAGCTGACTACTTCTTCCCTAAATAGTTCTTGCGTAGTTTGGAGCTGTGCTTTGGGTCATTGTCCTGTTGTAGGAGGAAATTGGCTCCAATCAAGCACCGTCCACAGGGTATGGCATGGCGTTGCAAAATGGAGTGATAGCCTTCCTTCTTCAAGATCCCTTTTACCCTGTACAAATCTCCTACTTTACCACCACCAAAGCACCCCCAGATCATCACATTGCCTCCACCATGCTTGACAGATGGCATCAAGCACTCCTCCAGAATCTTTTCATTTGGGCTGCGTCTCACAAATGTTCTTCTTTGTGATCCGAACACCTCAAACTTCGATTCGTCTGTCCATAACAGTTTTTTCCAATCTTCCTCTGTCCAGTGTCTGTGTTCTTTTACCCATCTTAATCTTTTCTTTTTATTGGCCAGTCTGAGATATGGCTTTTTCTTTGCAACTCTGCCTAGAAGGTCAGCATCCCGGAGTCGCCTCTTCACTTTTTACTTTTTAGTCATTTAGCAGACGCTCTTATCCAGAGCGACTTACACTGTTGACGTTGAGACTGGTGTTTTGCGGGTACTATTTAATGAAGCTGCCAGTTGAGGACCTGTGAGGCATCTGTGTCTCAAACTAGACACTAATGTATTTGTCCTCTTGCTCAGTTGTGCACCGCGGCCTCCCAGTCCCCTTTCTATTCTGGTTAGAGCGCAGTTTGCGCTGTTCTGTGAAGGGAGTAGTACACAGCATTGTACGAGATCTTCAGTTTCTTGGCAATTTCTCGCATGGAATAGCCTTCATTTCTCAGAACAAGAATAGACTGACGAGTTTCAGAAGAGTTCTTTGTTTCTGGCTATTTTGAACCTGTAATCGAACCCACAATTGCTGATGCTCCAGATACTCAACTAGTCTCAAGAAGGCCCGTTTTATTGCTTCTTTAATCAGCACAACAGTTTTCAACTGTGCTAATATAATTGCAAAAGGGTTTTCTAATGATCAATTAGCCTTTTAAAATGATAAACACAACGTGTCATTGGAACACAGGACTGATGGCTGCTGATAATGGGCCTCTGTACGCCTATGTAGATATTCCATTAATAATCAGCCGTTTCCAGCTACAATAACCATTTACAACATTTAACAATGTCTACACTGTATTTCTGATCATTTGATGTTATTTTAATGGACAAAATAATTGCTTTTCTTTTGAAAACAAGGACATTTCTAAGTGACCCCAAACTTTTGAATTGTAGTGTACATACAGTGCATTCGGAAAGTATTCAGATCCCTTTCCTTTTTCCACATTTTGTTACATTACAGCCTTATTCAAAAATGTGTTAGATACTACTGCGCTGTTGGAGCTTGGAACACAAGTATTTCGCTACACCCGCAATAACATCTGCTAAATATGTGTATGTGACCAATAAAATGTGATTTGATTAGTCAAAGTGAAAACAGGTTTTTAGAAATGTTTGCAAATGTATTAAAAATAAATAACAGATACTTTATTTACATAGGTATTCAGACCCTTAGCTATGAAACTTGAAATTGAGATCAGGTGCATCCTGTTTCCATTTATCATCCTTGAGATGTTTCTACAACTTGATCCTAGTCCACCTGTGGTAAATTCAGTTGATTGGACATTATTTGGAAAGGCACACACCTGTCTATATAAGGTCCCACAGTTGACAGTGCATGTCAGTGCAAAAACCAAGCCATGAGGTCGAAGGAATTGTCCGTAGAGCTCCGAGACAGGATTGTGTCGAGGCACAGATCTGGGGAAGGGTACCAAAAAATGTCTGCAGCATTGAGCTCCAGAGTTCCTCTGTGGAGATGGGAGAACTTTCCAGAAGGACAACCATCTCTGCAGCACTCCACCAATCAGGCCTTTATGGTAGAGTGGCCAGACGGAAGCCATTTCTCAGTAAAAGGCACAGGACAGCCCGCTTGGAGTTTGCCAAAAGGCACCTAAAGACTCTCAGACCATGAGAAACAAGATTCTCTGGTCTGATGAAACCAAGATTGAACTCTTTGGCCTGAATGCCAAGTGTCACATCTGGAGGAAACCAGGCACCATCCCTATGGTGAAGCATGGTGGTGGCAGCATCATGCTGTGGGGATGTTTTTCAGCGGCAGGGACTGGGAGACTAGTCAGAATCGAGGGAAAGATGAACGGAGCACAGTACAGAGAGATCCTTGATGAAAACCTGCTCCAGAGCGCTAAGGACCTGCAATTCTTCTAAAAGCCTGTTTTTGCTTTTGTCGTTATGGGGTATTGTGTGTAGACTGAGGGGGGATAAAAACTAATTAATCCAATTTAGAATAAGGATGTAACGTAAGATTGTGGAAAAAGTCAAGTCACTTTCCGAATGCACTCTATATTATATTCGTGTTTGTGGATGATTTCACTTCTGCCAGATGCCATTGCACTACGTTTTTGCCTATTGAATACCATTCAAAAAGCCTACAAAAGTTTTTTTAAAATGCAAGGCTACTTCCTGGAAAAAGACGTGCCACTTGCATAGCATATTATTAGCTGACCTTATGCTGCATTCCTGTGTTAGTCGTAACAATGTTGTCATGATGTTGTCCGTTGTTCTCCACCTAGGTACATTCCCCATAGACCTGACTAAGACGCGGCTGCAGGTGCAGGGCCAGTCCCAGTACATGGAGGTGCGCTACCGGGGCATGTTCCACGCCCTGTTCAAGATCGGCAAGGAGGAAGGCATCAAGGCACTGTACTCTGGGTGAGCAAAAATAATATGGTTTACACATGTTATACACTATGGAAAAAACCCAACATATTACAGTATGTTATGGTGTGGTATGTTGGAACATATGCCTGTTTGGATTGGATGGGCAGGGATTGACATTAAGGCTTGCCCTATTGCAAAGAATTCCAGTAGTCTGGTCTTTCTGGTTCCACCCCTGTGTGTAGGTAATAATAGCTAATTTACATTTTCTAGCAAGTGAATAAGCCTGACTTGCCGAATGGGCGAATGCCTTTCAGACCTTAATGTTTATCCCTGGAAGGGTATGACCTGTTTTGTGTCATGTGTAACTGGTGTGAAATGGCTAGCTAGTTAGCGGTGCACGCTAGTAGTGTTTCAATCAGTGACGTCACTCGCTCTAAAACCTTGAAGTAGTTGTTTCCCTTGGTCTGCAAGGGCCATGGATTTTGTGGAGCGATAGGTAATGATGCTTTAAGGGTGACTGTTGTCTGTGTGCAGAGGGTCCCTGGTTCAAGCCCAGATTGGTGCGAGGAGAGGGACGGAAGCAAAACTGTTACACATGCCACATTTATTTTGTGTGTAATGGGCACAATTTAGATCAGATGACTGTCTTATGAATATGAAAACACCATGAACACTGCATAGCAAATATTCAAAGTGGTTATTGTATTCCAGGTACCTGCTATCATGGCTAGGAGGAGGACATAGAGGGCTGTCATGCCATGTTTACAATATACTGTAGTAGTAGATGATCATGTTAAATGCTATGCCATACATAACCTTATGTTAATGTTCATGCTGTTTGCCCAGTGTAATGCAACCTCATGCTTGATTGGTTGCAGTCTGTCTAAATGTATGCCTAGGCCCTACTTGGTACTATATGCAGAATTGTAATATTCTGCGGTTTATCAGCATTGATAATGTCAGTGCTCAATGCCGGTGACTAGGGAGATTGTTGCAAACGTCTCAGTAAATTGTTCCCTTCACTGACATGGCAAATGTTTTTACAGACAAAACAAAATATGTGATCCATACATGGTATGCACAGGATGACATTACAGGACTACTGTAGGGAGGCATGAAACTGTCAGGTCAGCTCAACCTTCTGGCCTGAGTATGTCAACATCCAGGACACAATGTCCAGGTCTGAGTTCTTAGAAGAGGCTTAGGTCAGGGAATAACAGAATAGAAAATAACATCTTAGATCAATGGTGCGTAGGAGAAGCAACAGCTGAAGAACGGTACAAGTGACTCCTACGCTGTGTATTATACTTGCAAATTCAACATTTTAGTTTTTGAAAAGTCATGCTTTAACTACGGTATATGTGGCCAAAGGGGTGCACTTTTCAATAAATGTTTAATTTGTAAGTATACACAGGGTCCGAGAGTCTCTAATTTCTACCATTGTAGAACAAAGAATCAAACATAATATTTTTCTTCTTAGAACACAGATCACTATCATGTAAACCACTCTCCATTAATCTGAATCTAATAGAACCTTCTCTCATTCTCAAGGATAATATCAACATTTGACATCTGAGCTACTGAATCTCGTCTAGTATGTGAGAGGGTGACCTTTGACAAGGAAAGTGGGCAGGCTCTTTAGCATAACCTAGGGGATAAATGCTCTTTTTGACTGTGGTTTTTATCAGGGAACAGTTTTTGAAATACACTACCTGTTCGGTAATTCTGCTCTCAGGGAGTCTAGAAACAGTGTGATGACAACAATAGTCAATAGTGTGCAACCTAAACAAACAGCAAAAAGCTTATTTACAAGAGTTGATTAAGGGAACTGAGCTTCACAGGCAGAATACAAATGCCTGCCAAAGTCTTGACAATCCTGATGACAAGGTAATGTGAACATTAGGCAAAACGCTCTTCACTTGTTCATAAAAGTGACATTCCCTGATATTACTTCTGTCTTTCTCTTTTTTCATGCAGCATCTCCCCAGCTGTCCTGAGGCAAGCCTCCTACGGGACCATCAAGATTGGGACATACAACACACTGAAGAGGTTGTTTGTGACCCATCCGGAAGGTGGGTTTCAATGACTCTGTCCCCACTGCTTTCTATCTCACATCATATTCTGTGTTTGCTCTTCTTTTTTGTTTTTGCCCAAAACATTTATCTATGGTATGTCACTTGGAGCTGGTTTAAGCAACAATGATACATAGTTCTGTGTCATAGGCCATGGCATGACTCTGTAATAAGGTACTCTCTTTTGGTTGTTACCTTGTTTGCCTGCAGTGTTTCCCCTAGGGTGGTTGTATTGGCCGTGGCCCTCCACTTGGCCGCAGAGCCAACATTTTGCTGTTTTAAAGCTAATTTCCTGTCTGAGTGACTCAAACATTATAACAAAGTCAGCTGCGGCCTGCCGTTGCTAAATTTAATATAGGGGAAACACTGATCTGATATCATCGATGGCAAATTTCCACCTGAGACTTACCCCCAGTGTTTTACCAAAAACACTTTTATGTTTCCACCTTCTCGGCCCGACTCCAGTGTCTCGCTGGGCCATAGCCTCAGTGGACCTTTTCTGACTTAGGGCCAAGGCCAGGCCACTGGTACTTTTCAGCCATCATTTACATAACAATGGCTAACTGTGAACTTTCTCACGAAGCTACTGTTTTGATGATGCAGAGGTTGATTCTGCTCGCCCCAAGTCTTTAGTGTCACACTCCTGATGGAAACACAGTTCCCGAAAAAATAACACTGGAGCATAAACAAGTCTCCGGTGGAAATGCCCCACTAGTGACCCCACCCTAGCCTTTGATCGAATACTGAACTCTCAGCCAAATTCATGTTAGGGACTGACATTCCAAACACTCATACCAGGACAGGACAGTCACCCATTTACAGACGTGGGGTTTTGGGGGGGAAGAGAGGGAAGAGGTTAGCTGGCCAACCTAAAAGGGTAGAGTGGACCGCAGTCAGCACTTTTATTTGACTTCAGCATATACTGTTAATCTGCACACACAAACAATCAACAGGGGTTTAAATAAAGCCTGTAATTTTGAAATAGACCATTGCGCTGATTCTTCTGAAGATCAGTGTTTTGTTTCTAGGCCTTCCAGTAGAGCTGACAGGGCGTTTTCTCATACCCTCATCAACAAAAATAACGACTGGGGAAACCCTTTCAAATACCTGTCTGGACAACCTGCATTGACACAGAGGGAGAGTGCTTAACCGCTGTCACTAATGCCCAATCTAAACAGAAGACTGGGAGCCTCCATGACAAGAGGGAACAAATCTCCTCCGCTGTCTATCAATAGGTTTGCATTACATTAACTGGCGTCAGCATGTATCCCCATATCACAGGAATCAATTTCTATTGAGAGACTATCTGTATTTACTGTATAAACAATGACAGGATTATTTGAACTCCTGCGTTAGACAGAGAAACGGACCAAACTAAGTCTGACAGGGGATCACTTAGTTAGTATAGGGGTTTACTCCGATTTTTTTCTGAGACTTAATAAGGATTGGGGTTAGTGTGGACTGCTTTATTTGTGATTGTGTGTGTTGTAAACAGAAGACCTCTGCTGTTGTTGTGCTGCTTCACTCTGCATGCCTCATTCTGTCAGGATGTGCCACTGTGTTCTGAACGCTTATTTTGATACAGGCTGAGGTTTGCCTGAAGGTGGTGGTGGTTGGGCAGGGGTATCCAGCGCCCATTCTCCTGCCATTGTGAACGGTGCCAGGACCACACTAACTATTGGTCACATTGATCAAGGTTTTACTGTAACTATTGTTCTAAACTTGATCCATTATTATTTTCCTGCTCCTGTGTCACACCTACTTCCACTGTAGATTTGTTTTGTTTACCGGTGACTAATAATGATAATCTCTTGTCCTAACCCTAACTGTCATAACTTCTACTAAATAAATGAAGGTCCCCATTCCATTTCAAACCTTGTACTGTAAGAGAGACAGGGTGCAATCTCACTCTGTCCCATTATGGTAGTGTATCAATAATACAGTAGTGGTATGTTTTGAAATGGTGACAAATCCAAATTGCAGAGGGATGTAGTTAGTAGTCATTATTTGATTAATGTGATAATGAATAGGATAATTGCTCTCTGTTTTTCTTTATGTACATGTAGGCTTTCTAATTCTCATGATTCTCTGTCTGGAGTTTAATTACTGCATGTTTGTGTTGATCTTTGTTATTGTTATTACGTGGCAGACACGTCTGTCTTTCTAGCATTTCTCTCTCTCTGTGTTTGTGGGTTGATGTGGAGGAGTAACGGGCTGTCCTGTGTTTGCCCTGACAGATGAGACCATGGTGATCAATGTGTTCTGTGGAGTGGTGTCTGGAGTCCTGTCGTCCTCTCTGGCCAACCCCACTGATGTCGTCAAGGTAAAAAAAATATTTAAAGAAGATCTAGATACCGGACATTGCAGATAGAAACGACTTGTATAGAACTGATGTGATTCCTTTTTGTGTCAGAGGCATGTTTGTTCTATAATATATTTATATCTGAATGTTCCACAACGTTCTGGCCTGCTGAACGCAGGCCCTGATGTTCTGTGTTGTGTGTTTAGATCCGCATGCAGGCCCAGGGCAGTCTGTTACAAGGCAGCATGATGTCCAACTTCATTAACATCTACCAGACAGAGGGAACCCGCGGCCTGTGGAGGGTGAGTGGTCCTCTCTCTGTCACAAACTATCAAACAGTGGCTCTGATCTGTCCTTAACTACCCCCATGTACTGTGTGGTTGGGACAGCAGTAGTAGGTGAAGTATATAGGCATATTGTTGTTAGGATTTTGTTTATGTGGTCTTTGTTGTTCTGTAAGATGGTGACCAGTGAGAGGTCAGTTTTTTTAGGCCATCTGAAGACCATTGAGTGATTGGTACTCTCTGATTATTTATATTGTTGTCATCCTCAGGGCGTCATCCCTACAGCTCAGCGGGCAGCCATCGTAGTGGGAGTGGAGCTTCCTGTCTATGACATCACTAAGAAGCACCTCATTAAGTCTGGCACTATGGGAGACACCATACTAACACACTTTATGTGCGTTGACATCAATATTGGATAATGCATATATAGAAATACTATTTGTTATTCCTTATGTACCGGCATACTCTCTTAAAAAGGTTTTATATTTAGTGTGCATATTACATATTAGTGAGGTGAGCATATTACACCTGAACCTCTGGCTTCTCCCACGTCTTTCTCTTACTGCAGTTCCAGTTTTATGTGTGGCCTGGCGGGGGCGCTAGCCTCTAACCCAGTGGACGTGGTGCGGACACGTATGATGAACCAGCGAGTGCTGTCAGGGAACCCCATGTATAAAGGCACGCTGGACGGATTGATGCAGACATGGAAGAACGAGGGATTCTTTGCCCTCTACAAGGGCTTCTGGCCCAACTGGCTGCGGCTGGGGCCATGGAACATCATTGTATCCTTTCCATCACTGGAGTCAAAGTTCAAACCCACTGTGTTGCCAGCACTATGACCCAAATAACTGAGCCATCCGAACACCTCTCATACTCACTCCCTGCATTAACATATTGATTTCTATTATGTCAGTTCAGTTTTGCTTGAGGTCATATTGACTATTATAGACATCGTAGAGCACCATTCCTGGTAAAAGTAGGTCGACTTCAGCATTGCAGGACAAGTTGTCAGTTTGTGTAATATCCCTCTGGGCTCTGGAGAAGGTTCTAATTGTATCTCCCTATTGTCACTCGAGGGTATAGAGGGAACAGCAGAGCGGAGCAGAGAGCTGTTGTCAGGTGTACAGGTTGTGTAATGGCACGCCTGTCCTCTTTCCCCCTGGCTAGCAGTAGAGGGCGCCAAATACATACATTGAAGCAAAATTTGCAAGGATAGAACATTGTTATATACTGAACAAATATATATTAACGCAACAATTTCAACATTTTTACTGAGTTACAGTTCATATAAGGAAATCAGTCAATTGAAATAAATTCATTAGGCCCTAATCTATGATATCCAATGGGTGGGCCTGGGAGGGCACAGCCAATCAGAATACGTTTTTCCCCCACAAAAGGGCTTTATTACAGACAGAAATACTCCTGTTTCATCAGCTGTCCGGGTGGCTGGTCTCAGACGATCCTGCAGGTGAAGAAGCCGAATGTGGAGGTCCTGGGCTTGCGTGGTTACACTGGGTCTGCGGTTGTGAGGTCAGATGGACGTACTGTCAAATTCTCTAAAATGGTAGAGAAATTAACATTAAATTCTCTGGCAACAGATCTGGTGGACATTCCTGCAGTCAGCATGTCAAGTGCACGCTCCCTCAACTTGAGACATCTGTGGCATTGTTGCGACACAACTGCACATTTTAGAGCGGCCTTTTATTGTCCCCAGCACAAGGTGCACCTGTGTAATGATCAGCTTCTTGATATGCCACACCTGTCAGGTGGTTGGATTATCTTGGCAAAGGAGAAATGCTCACTAACAGGGATGTAAACACATTTCTGCACAACATTTGAGAGAAATAAGATTTTTGTTTAGATGGAGTTTTTCTGGGATCTTTTATTTCAGCTCATGAAACATGTGATCAACACTTTACATTTTATATTTTTGTTCAGTATATTTACAGTGATATTGTATAATACAAAATGTTAATTTTATTCAGTTAAGTCTTAAATGTATTATGATTATTTTTGTATGGGCGCAGACAATGTCAAGACTAAATATACTTCAAGGCTGCCGTCATCTGTTGTCCTTAACCAGAGCTATTCAGTTCTTTATTACGTTCGAGCAGCTGAAGAAACTCAACTTGTAGTTGGAACAGGAAGTGGACACTCCGTCGGACTAGACACCGGGATGGGCAACTCCAGTCCTCGGGGGCCGGAGTGGTGTGTCACTTTTTCCCCATCCCTAGCAAACACAGCTGATTAAGGCCAGGCACCACACCCTAATAGGGATTTTTATCTTAATGATATCACAATCAACTTTTACCAGTTGAATGTAGACACAAAATAGTTTTTTGTATACATTCTTCTGAAATATTAAAATATGGAAATGAGGCAATCTCTCTTTAAATTGCGTATATTTGCAATCTACACTAATTCATTTTTTTCCTGGACGCTGGATGAAGTCCGCCTAAATATGTTTGTTTCATTTTGTTAAGACACTCCAGTACCAGAGTTGTCCAGAGCAGATTGTGGATCAATACTTTTTTCATCTTTCTGTAAAATACTAAAGACTGGTATGTAAAAATGCATTTTTGGTGCAATTTTCCAAATGTTATCTAGAATTTAAAAAAAAATACACAACAATTCCCTCTGGGCAAGTCTAGAGAACATATCAAAGGATAATCACACACAATTTGAACGCGGATGCTTCTGAAGCTGAGGAAAACAAGTAAGCGTGTGGGAAGAGTCTGACTTTCTGGAAATTAAAGACAAGTACACTGAATTAAGACTACCAAACGCCAAAAGCCTATTTAGACCCAATCACCGTCTCTTCAAAGTAAGTTACTAAATGTAGTCCAGTTTGTAACATTCTCTATGAAATGGGCTTTGAAATTGTGTAATTAAATGTGGTGAGCTTTGAAATGAGTGTATGTCCATTTTAAAGTGGTTAAAATTAATAAATGTTGACAGTAGTATGATCAACTAAAGAAAATATACAATTTCATCAAGTTAGAAATTTTTGATTGGTTCATTAATATTTTCAAATAAAATGCCAACAAACCTCAAAATTGATAGGTCAATGCAAAAATGGCATTTCGGCCTGTGGTGCCTAGCCTTAAACTGAAGATCAGATTAGTTGATTATTGGAGTCCGGTGTGTTAGCTGGGGCAAATGTGTGACACCAATCAGGCCCCTGAGGACTGGAGTTGCCCATCACTCAACTATAGTGTGTTGGGGAGCTGGAAACACCACAACACCCCAGCCCACATGTCAAACTCATTCCACGGAGGGCCGAGTGTCTTCAGGTTTTCGCTCCTCCCTTGTACTTGATTGATTAATTAAGGTCACTAATTAGTAAGGAACTCCCCTCACCTGGTTGTCTAGGTCTTTAATTGAAAGGAAAAAACTAAAACCAGCATACACTAGGCCAGGGATATTCAACTCTTACCCTATGAGGTCCGGAGCCTGCTGGTTTTCTGTTCTACCTGATATTTAATTGCACACACCTGTTGTCTCAGGTCTAAATCAGTCCCGATTAGAGGCGAACAATGAAACATGCAGTTGAATTGGCTTCGAAGTCTAGAGTTGAGTTTGAAAACACTAGGCCCTCCATGGAATGAGTTTGACACCCCTGCCCCAGCCCTTCGTCCTGGTTACATTCACAATCCCTCCCTCGGTCACACAATCGATATGTCTGTGCATGCTCATCTAAGTGTTATTTTAGTTTTATTTTAACTTTGAATAATATTTATAGATTATTATTTTTTGACATTTGTATTATGTTTTTTGAAACACTTCTTCAAACCCCTCAACCACCCTTGATGCCTCTCCTGGCAGCTAAAGCTTAGGTTGTAGCTGAGGACGGAAGCCTGGTTGGGCCATAAGGTATTAGCTAGGTACGTTGCCTGTCAGCTTGATACCATTTTAGTGAGGAGGAGGACTATCCTGGGTGGAACGGGAACTGGAGATCTACTTGAGCTTATTTAGAGAGATGTGGAATGGGCCTCTGATTGTGTCTGACTAGTTTTTAACCGCATTGCTGCACTGCATGGGACGTGCAAGAAAAATACAACAGCTGTTAAAGAATGGCTGTATAAAGATTTTGTATAATTTCAGCCAGTCATTTTGAAAGTAGCGCTCCCAAAATAGTTGTGTACGTTAACTATTTTGTATATGTTACGTCCTGCAAATTTTGTTTCCTGCAATTCGTATGATATGTTACGTATTCCAATTCGTACAATATGTTACGAATGTAAATGCTTAAGATCCGGTTCAATCTCTTTAAATGTATCGAATTTGAGTTTTGCCTGTCTGATCTGACGTTTGAATAATATATTCACTGTTTTGGGCAGAGCTAGCTAGAAGAGGATGCATGATGGGTCAACCGGGTCGTTATTGTCAAATGTATTCTCAATGACTTACCTTGCTTAGAAAAGGTTACAATAGGTTCTGTTAGAGGAACTCAGGACAAAGGTGAGACTATCTGTATGGCCAGTAAGATGAGATAGGGGTCTCTTTTGTCATTACTTGAATTTAGTCCGTTGTTGAACCAAAGCCACCAGTTGGTACCCGAAGAGTGACTGCTTTCTGTGCATTTCACTACAAAAAAACCTGAATACCTGATAAGTTGTTGGCGCACGCACAAATTCTACTGTAAAAAACATGTCACTTTTCGTTTAAAGGTAGTAGAACTATTGAAAGGTTATAGATCATTTTACTTTGCCCTCTCCAAGTCCCCTGCCCTCTGTGTGAAACAGATGTCTGCTGTTGTCTGGAACACAACACGGAACAAGCACAGCAGTGGAAGCAATTAGGACATTTCTTGGAACTGCCTGGTTGTCATGGTGATTCCCATGAAAGTACATATGTAAATGAATGTACAGAGAGACACGCACATGTGAAGGTGGATACAACATATTGTGACCGGCATGTCTAACTTGTACATAGTTACATCAGAGTACTTGCTTTTTGTTTCTATTTTGAGGTTTGAGTAAAGCCCTGAATAGAAACGGCCTGTAGTACGAGGATATGGGGGCCGTAGTGCCAAAGTGTGCATGTACTGTACTGTACTGCACTGCTGTTGCAAAGCGCTGTCCCTGAATAGGTCAGTGTTGGCTAGGTACCAGGATAACTGCACTGTTACATACTTACTCAAGCCTTACACTTTACTTTCATGATCATGTTTCTAATCTCTATGATGCCTGTTTCTGCTCCTCTGCCTCATGTCCCATGGTCATGTTGAATTATGTGTTTTTATTAGAATGACAAGTTTTGTTGTTGCATTTCCAGATCATGTCTATGGATATTAGGTGTGAGAGATGTGGGTGTTATGTACTCTGTAATTAATTGAAACAGACGTCCTATTTCATTAGGTTAGATTTTTACAGATCATGCTTACGGGCGGCAGATGGCCTAGCGGTTAGAGTGTTGGGTCAGTGACCGAAAAGTTGCTAGTTCAAATCCCTGAGCCGACAAGGTGAAAAGTCTGTGCCCTTGACCAAGGCACTTAGTCCTAATTGCTCCAGGATCGCTGTTGATAATGACAGACCCTGGCCATGACCCCACTCTCCAAGGGTGTCTGAGGGGGAGTTGGGATATGCAAAAAATAATAATAATATAATAAATAGGACAATTATAAGCATTCATTTGTTGTTTCAGCAGTCGTTTTAATGAGCCGTCCTTCAGCTTTTTCAGCTTTTGTGTCTTTACCATGATGTAATACTTTTTTTCTACAGAGAATATTGTGTGGGTTTCTTACTGCATCCATCATCAATGTACTATCAAGTTTTTTTCTGGTCAGGTCAGTCCATAGTCAGGGAAAACCCCTGGCCCTAACTATTATCACTCTGAC